TGAAGGATTTACTAACAAAATTAGTAAAATGTAGTGGAATACTTAGTTTATTATTATATGAGGACCGCAGAGTTCTATCATGCGTTGAGGAAATATACTGAAATTTCTCCTTGAGATAAGAAGGAGTGGATGGATTATTTAAGATAGAGAAGAGAACAAGCAAAATTCTAGAGTCACGCCTCTGTTTAATAGTGAGCCATTTAAGGCGAAAGCGATAGTGAGAGATATGATCAAATTTACGAAGATTGAAAATGTATCTGACGCAATTGTTGAGTAGTTACTTGTATGGCCTACAAGTAATTGTTCCGGGTCTGGATTTTTGTCCACGTGCAATCTATGTTTGTAAACTGCCTCTACGAGAAGTAGAGATTCCTAGTGTGGGGGTAACGTTTTTTTTTTAATAATATTCATTCAAATAATAATTAATATATATATATATATATATATATATATATATATATATATATATATATATATATATATTATAAACAAACAACTTTGTTTATTATCTATATAAAATATTGCCCTGTATTGTTTAGGGTCATATAAGGCGACTACGATAAAGACCAGGTAACCTCACGACCTCTGGTAGATAACCATCTTATATTTATCAGATATAAAATCTACATTACAATCCATCCGAAAACGGCAGCACGTGTGATTATAAATCCACCTGCTAAGCGTACTTGAAGAGACTTCCTGTACTGGAAGAGACCCGTTTCCTGCAGTGGACTGTTGTGAACGGATAAACAAAAACAGTGTGCGGAAGTTCATCCGCGGTTCAAACATTCAAAAAAAAAAGACTGAGATAATAGGTGCATTCCATACTGTATTCTATCTCATTCTCTCGCAAACTAAATCCTATAGACGTATACTGTTTGTCTTTTTTTAGTGTCGCTTTATTGTTTCATCGAGTTTCAAATTACAACAATTCTAAAGAAGTTTTTACTTCAACCAAAGATCGCCTTGGATATTAAGCTTAATAATTTACTGTTATAGAACAAAAACTCCATCATATATACAATCATTTATTTTATAACTAAACACAAAATTTGCGCAAACATTCAATTATGCAATCATAAAACTAATTTTCATCATCATCATTACAGCCTTTCACAAGTCCACTGCTGAACATAGGCCTCCCCAAGGAATGCCACAAAGCACGGACCTAAGCCATCTGCATCCATCGACGTCCTGCATGTCTTACCAGTTCGTCACTACATCTCGAGGGGGATGCCCTACACTTCGCCTAAAGGTACGAAGCTGCCAATCGAGAACATCTTTGGTTGGTTGGTTCTCCTCATCGGTTGTCGGTTCTTCAAGCTATATGGCTGGCCCATTGCCACTTCAGCTTACCGATCCGTTGGGCTATGTCGTTCACTCTAGTTTTAAAGCGGATATCCTCATTTCTACGTTTATTACGCAGATAAATCCCGAGCATAGCCCTCTCCATAACTCGCTAAGCTACCTCGAGCGTCCTCATACAGCCAGCAGTGAAAGACGTCTCAGATCCATAAGTCATGGTCAAGTTTTGATGATGTGTCGTAATTTCCCGAACGCTTCCCAGCAGTGTTGATACTGTCAATTGACCTCTCGGTCGAAGTTGGACCTACCTAATCGAACTATTTATCCCAGGTAAACATACTCGTCAACAACTCGAGCTTAATACTCCCAACAACGCCTCGCTCGCCATTGGTGTGTCACGGACATTAAACTTGATCTTTTTTTTGTCCATGTTCATCTTAAAACCTATCCGTTAGAAGACAGTATTGAGGTCATTAAACACAGTGCTTAGATCCTCTAGCGATTCTACCATAAGGACTATAATTAACGTCGGCAAATCGAAAGTGAGTGATGTACATTTATGTTAATACCGTATCCTTTCCAGTTCAGTAGCTTGACAATATCTTCCAATGCAGCTGCTAAGAGTTACGGGTATATAACGTCACCCTGTCTTACACTTCTCTGCAATTGGATAGATTTCGTACTCTGATACTGTACACGTAGCCCTACAACAAACACTTCAGCACTTCGATATACCGACAGTCAACTTTTTTATTACGTTACAATCCATCCGAAAACGGCAGCACCGTAGATGCGAGACATTTAATAGTGTGATTATAAATCCAACTGCCAAGCATACTTAAAGAGACTTCCTGTACTGGAAGAGACCCGTTTCCAGCAGTGGACTGTTGTGAACGGATAAACAAAAACAGTGTGCGGAAGTTCATCCGCGGTTCAAACATTCAAAAAAGGAGATTGAGATAATAGGTGCATTCCATACTGTATTCTATCTCATTCTCTCGCAAACTAAATCCTATAGACGTATACTGTTTGTCCCTTTTTAGTGTCGCTTTTTTGTTTTCATCGAGTTTCATATCACAACGATTCTTAAGAAGTTTTCACTTCAAACAAAGATTGCCTCGGATATTAAATTTAATAATTTACTCTTGTAGAATAAAAACTCCATCATATATACAAGCATTTATTTTATAACTAAACACAAAATTTGCAAACATTCAATAATGCAATCATAGCACTAACTTTATATATAACTAACTTGAAATATATACTAGTAAATTTAAAAAAGATAATTTGACTGAAAACCATGATGCATTAGAGCGTATAGGCCTATTTTATTCGAACTTGAGAGAACTATAAAGTTTTAGGCCTTTAAATTGAGGCAAACGTCGTAACTACCAAGCGGGTACAAAGCATAACATAGTGCATTTTAATTTTATAATTCTCTTCTGACGCCAAAATGTTCTCTTTACATTAGTTTCTTTTGTAGTTACTGACAATAAGAAAAATATGATAGTTGCAAATTTCTTTGCTTCGAAATGTTGGATTTTATTAACAAAATTTAAAAATGTTTTAATGTACATTATAGAAGCAAATAACCAGAAATAAGGAACAAATTACTCAGAATTACGGCAGACAAGCAACATTTGCTTACCTTAATAAGCCGGGATTTCTATAAAACTTAATTGTTTTCAATTACTTTTCGATTTTCAAAACAAAGCTTTTCTACCTACATCGTCTTAACTATAACGACTACACCGAACTGAAACTAAATATTAATTTACTAACACATTTTAAAATTTAAACCCTAATTACGCCATTGAAATATATAATTAATTTAACTTTCGTAAATATAAATTTAAAATTCGCTTAACTTACGACAAATCCAACACTAAAACACAAACGCTAAGAATTAATGTGAATGTGAATAGGTATACTGTTCATGCTCAAACTTGAACATAACATTGTCTTTTTTTGGCACTATACATATTTTTTTCTTCCCAAAATAAATTTATTAAAGAATTTTACAAAACAGAATCAAGTGCAAATTTACAATTATCGCATCACTACATCTCCTAATATCACCTATATTAAAGTGGTATTACAATATATATAAAAGTGAACAAGAGGCACTCTATAGGTTTAAATACGCAGGTTAAAAATAAGCGTAGTTCGTGAAATATCCAACGAGAAATTTAACGTCATGAGTACACTGACGCCATTTAACACTCACTAACATCTGCTAATAATGATTACATACAAATACACATTTAGTGTACAAGTTACCTACTTACAGATTAAAATCAACAAAAGCTTGATAGATCTACATCAAAATTACATATATTTTCTTCTAATTTCATAAAGTATCGTCTTTCACAACAGATTATGATTTTCGATATACATTCCTAGTAGGTAAACGAATAGCCTTACTTTGAATTTTAAAAAAGTCAATAAACGTATAAGCCAAACAACGACAAATCCTAATTTATTTTCTAATACTTATTTATATACATATACCACTGAAATAAAAACTGTTTATAATGTTACTGTCTTAAAATTTTGTTAAACATAGCATATTGTACTAATATTTTGTATCTTAATTGTTGAACGAATTGTAAAGATTCATCTAGTAATTGTTTACAAATACCAATATTTGAAAGCTGAACCGTTGAACACTACATTCGCTAAACTAGTTGTACCGGTCCTAAACAATAATATACTAATTGGTATGCCCTAACAGTATACTACCCTCACCACAATTAATGACTGGAAAACATCTCCATTTCTCCAATTATTGTTACATGAAAACCCTGTTCATTAAAATATTTATAAGGTGTTTCAAAATCAGGGCTCATGTTACTACACCAATTACGCTTTAATTTATAACTTCGCGTTCTTCTTTTGTTTCAACAGCATCATTGTTCACTATCTCTTCCGTTTTTGTCTATTTAACATCGAACCATATATCACGTACAACTTTCTAATATTGGTCCACTACAAAGTTGTGAAATGGCCTAGCTTATTTTATTAACTTACTCCCTAAGGCTAGATCGAACTTAAACATTTCTATGCCTTGCGTGATATGTATTGCAATAGAGGCGCATTAAAGCTAACATTTTTGTCTCATCCTCATAAATCCGCCATATTTCAAACACCACGTGGAATGTGTAGATCAAAATGAATTACATTATTTAACTTTCGCAGATGATCAATTTACTCATTTAACATCTTTTCCAGACAATTTCACAAATGTTATAACCTACTCTTGAGAGATATGTTGAATCTTATCTGCTATGACAAAATTACGTCTACATAATTCTATAATTTATTATTAACAAGTGATATGTTGTTGGAGGCATCACTCCTTTTAAAATAGATTTAAACATTAGTTCATAAACAATAATTATACATCACTTATATTTTAGTTATGGAACTTAATATCAAATCTCCTCTAGCAGAGTATTAATGGACTTACAGCGCAATTTAACACTTCAGGTGGCTTATAACTAAAATCTTTATAAATCTTTAAAATTCACTTATAAAAATAATTAAGAAAATATTGAGGCTCAATTCTACAAACGTGTTAATTCACAAATGTTCTCTATTTAATAATAAACATATAAAACGAGAACTAAAATAAGCCTACAAATAATTGATATTTATTGTTTTAACGATAATAGTAATAAAAGCATATTTTATTAGGTGTATTTGAAAAACGTTAGTTGTGTTCTAACAAAAGAAATAAAACTAAAACTATACACAGCGTAAGACAGTTGTGTGATAATCGCAGTATTGGTACAATTCTGAGGAGTTTCCGGCTTACCTGTAACATTTGAAAAACATGTTTATGAATACAATTTGAAACATATACCTACTTACTATATGTCTGTCATCTTATGGATGTCGCTAAACGGGCATAAACATATACGCCTGTCACCCAGAGAGAGAGAGAGAGAGAGAGAGACTTCCATTTGGCACGATCTTGAAACAACTCTCTCACCCCTTTCAGGTCTTATACTTATACAGGTATTATACCTACTTAAGTTAATTTGTCTCATTTTCATATTTTCTCATCATCTCTTTATTTTCCGCTAAACGTTGTAGCATAATAATGAAATTTCTAAAGAGACGTGAAATAAGGACTTGTTTATTATTTAAAATGATTGTTCGAATAATTCGACAAAAATAAAAATTAACTTCAATTATCATCGGATCCGGTTGAAATCCATATGAGAATGAATATTTCTTGATGTTTTATGTTTGTTTTTCAATTCGGCTGTTTTCATGTATTATACGCAACATTTCATATTTTTATTATAAAGTTTTTGGCGTTAATATTACCATTAATATTACCCAAGAGTAAGGAGGCCATTCACGTAGCGACGGCTGTACGGACGCGAACTTCAGTCGTATGCGTTCAGGTTCGATCTTAGTTTGGTCTTGAACCAAGGTCTTATTAAATAACGTCGATGTTGATAGTCAAGATGAAAACCTCAACGTAGTAACGAGTGTAGCTGTTTGCGACGTTCCAAACGACTATGCCCATTAATCTGTTAATTTATGTCAAGAAAGGGAAGTAGTCAATGTGTCACATAATTAATAATGAAAGTAAAAACGAAAATAAATTGATGGCCGTATTTAAGTTTTTGCATGAAAGAGATTCGGCTTATAGTCAGCACAGTGTTTGGAGTAGAGTTATCTAAGACATAATTTCTCTTGAGAACTTAAATGCCAAAAAAGTATTTCCCCGAGGTAAATAAAAAATATTGAATACAAATTGTGCACGTTTGAGCGTTTATATGGAAGATAAAGCCACACAATGATTTATTATATATATATATATATATATATATAATAAATCAGCTGATCTTTTTTAATTTATTTTTGGCATTGTATTTGTATTGATTAACCTACAAAGCAGAAGGAGCAGCAGCAGCAGCTTACCATTTTCTGCCAATGCAATCATTTTGACAAAGTTGCAACTAATGTGTGCTACTCGAGCTGTCATTATGACGGTTTATTCGACGGTCCGTACTAGCATCGTTTCGTGAATGGCCATATTTGTTAAAATCATACTACGTAAGCAAATACTGTGACCTATTACACTGCTTATTACGAGAAGTCAATAATAAATTACTATTTACAGTTTAGTAGAGATTACGGTTGATATTATTACACCGCCGTGTAGCTGCGGTGTTAGAACATCTTCTATCCCATATTATCCCGTGAGTGTCGTAAGTGAGAGTACACCAGGCTATGGGCATCAGCGTCTTCTTAATAACAATTCTAGAATAAAAAACTGCGATCGCGAATTCGCTTGTGTAGATCCTAATTAATCAGTCTATGGGAAGGCCTTTATTCTGCGGTAGAATTTGATAGATTGTAATAGATAGATGGATGCGGGAATGATGGTAAAGCCACTCAAAAAATATAAAAATTAGTCTGAAAGTTGAATAAGAAACCACAAAGTATCAAATCTTATCATGCCAAAATTAACTATTTTCTATCGACTCCATACAGGAGGAGGTACTCAATTCGACTGTATGTTTTTATGATGTGTGTTACCTCATACCTTTTTTCTGGGTGAACCGATTTTGATGATTCTTTTTTTTTATTCAAAAGCTGGTGCTTCTCATATGGTCCCATTTAAATTTGATCAAGGTTTGACCAATACTTTTTGAGTTATTCTTAATAATTTATATTGAAGTCGGTAGTACAAAACTTTTAACTATATTAATTTTTGTTATTGTGGTACCATCATGCATGTTCCTTTAAAACCGTACAATATACTTATAAAAATAAAATACTATATACTACTACTATACTCCCGCATTTCCCTCTTCTCTTCTCGCATTTCCCGTACCATGAATAAATCAAATACATCAAAGTTTTTCCAATCGCAAACAGCTCCATTTTCAGCCAGTCAAGCCTAGTTTATATTTTTATATATTAAAATCAACTGCTGTCCGTTAGTCTGGCAATTTTTTTTTGATGTTTGAGTGAGCCCCTGTGTGGTTTATATTCTCAATTGGACCCGGTAGCTAGCGCTTTTGTGGTTGGCGCCAGTATTTTATAAAAATGTATGTATATAATTATACTTGTTATGCAGAATTATTGTCTAGTATAATTAGATTTTTTTTTAATTTAATGATACAGAAAACATATTACAATAGTGCATAGTTACTATACAGCACCATTAAACTGCAAAACGATTTGTATTGGTGCTTGCAGACGTCTATACGCATAAATATATTATTTTTAATAACTACCATCGTATAATTGATAAAGTTAAGCATGATAACAACTAACAACCTATTCATTGTATTAGTAACATGACGACAAACAGGTTTCGCTAGTTTACCGCGATGAGCGTGTACGGTATACTATACATATACAGGCTGATTTCTATAGCAATTTTTTTTAAATAATTATTTAATAATATAATGTTATATATACTTCTATATATACATACACATACACACACATGTATATATATATATATATATATATATATATACATATAGATTTAATATCATTTGAGAATTTATTAAGGAAGACAATTCAGGTTTTCTAGTACGTAATGCTTAATTTTATATTTTAAGTTTTTTTCTGTCAATTCGTCCTTAAGGTTTTCTGGAAGATCGTTTAGAATGGAAGCTAATATATTAACAGTTCTCCTGTCTCCATAAAAGTTATTTGATTTTATTTTAGCTACAGATTTTTAATTACTTTGTCGCGTTCTATCATAATATTTTACCATTTTTAATGAAGGAATCGTATTAAAATCTTCAATCATGATATGACATTCAAGTTTTTTATTTATAGGTATGACTTTACAGTATTTAAAAAGACCAATATAGTTATTCTCTTTATATTTTTGTTTTACCTTGTCATCTACAATGAGCTTTAAGAATTTTAGTTGTAAATTAAAGATCCTTCTTATGTATGTTTTGAATGTACGACCATAATTTGTTATTCCATATGATATTATCGAATCTACTAGCGCATGGTACATTGATAGTAGTACTGAATATGGTACTTTATTCTTGATAATATAGAATATTGCAAGCAATGACCTTAGCTTATTACAAATCATATCAATATGAGGACCCCAGTTAAATCTGTTGTCTATGATTAAGCCTAGGTATTTTTGATTTTTAACTTGTTCTATAGGTGTACATATGCATTTTTGAATAAGGCCATGCATACATTCATGTGTATGCACAGTTATTGATATTGGACTATATACTGTGTTATGACTCGACCTAATATGCATGACTTTAGTTTTTTCTGCGTTAATAACTAATGTAAGGTATTTACCATTTTAATGAGTTTACTACTGCTTGCCATTAGAAAATAGGTAAGGAGATTATCCTATCTAAATTATGCGCAAAGCGTTGTGATCATTGTATTTCTTATCTAATGCACATGACCATTACATTTGAGTTAATTACTTTATCAGTATCCGATTAGCCGATTAGATGTATCCTACGAGTGATAATTCAACAATTGTGTGGAGGTGTGTTGTTTATAGTGTAGTGTAGTGGCGGTATAAGAATATCCACTAACCCATATAGTCCCGTGGGTGTCGTAAGAAGTATCAGAAGGAAACAAATCAGGAGATGTACAGCAGCGTTTTCCAAATAACAACTAAAAAATAAAATAACTGCAGTTATTACCCCGCCTGCCAAGCGTGGCAACTACGGCAAATATCCGCCTTCAGGGGAAGCCCCTCTTACCCTTCCCTTCTTGCGGAAATGTAGTTATAAATATAGTTTATGAGTAATTATTTTTTTGTAAAATTATAACCTCTCTTTTTACACAGGTATATTGACTCAAAGTTACTTTGCGTAAAGTAACTTGCACTGTGGGGAGTGCAGGCCCCGTCCTCACCTCCGCTCACCTCCACAGCTTCGGCTAATTGGTCCAGCCTCAGCCGCTACGGCTCACAAAGATGCCTGCGATTTGCTGCAGCAGGCAGGGGCTGCTCTCCCTCCACGTCTAAGGCTTTACAAAAACACTCTAGGTGCAAGCAAGACTACGTGAAGTCGGGGTGTGCTGCTATTTTTAGTCAGACAAATTTATTTTTATCGTAATTAATTCAACGCACATTTCCGAAATCCAAAAACAGTAAAAATGGTTCGAACTTAAACCTGACCAACCTCCTAAACTGAAAACATAATTAAAATCAAGTACTCAACGTCTATAATTCATAATACTTGACCAAATTGACTTATTTGCGTTTCATTATATTCAATTTTTACTGAAATTTATTTTGATCGTAATTAATTCAATACGCATTTCTGACATCCAAAAACATTGTAAAGGCTTATCAGTGACAAGCCTCCTAAACTAAAAATATAATTAAAATTAAGTACCGAAAGCCTATAGCCAACCCTTTTTTTTTCACTTTCACTATCATACATTAGAGTGGGGACTAACACAGCATTATGATTTGCCATACGTGCCTACTGTGACCATGGACGTACTATATTTGTGACACATTCTGACTTCCCACGATAGAGTGAAGAGCATCATTTACGCTGCGCCCTGCATTCCCTCTTAAATTCTTATTATGTATACCTTCCCTGCTAAATACACATCCTAAGCACACAAACTCATCCAATTGCTTGATCATGTAGAGAACATTTTATAAATTTGAGAATCCTCACTGTGCCCTGTTTGTATAGTCTAACTTTACTCGCTGATCTTGTTAAACATCTGAACAGATGATGAAACTGATAACGAAACTGATGAAGAAATGGCAAGAAGATACCATACGAGATGAAAAGCAATACCCAATTTTTTAGAAACAAAATTACA